CAAAAAGGTGTCCATGTATTTTAGATTTTTACATGGGAGGGGAAAATAAATTTTGAATAGGCCGGTTTAGATTAATAATCGTATTGTTTAAAACAAAGAATTCCATATCAATCATCGTAAACTGTTGTTTGCTGTGCATGGCATGGGATGAATATAATATGAACAATATTGTTTAAAGTAGTGACTGTGTTACATATATTAGTTAAAGCCTAAATGCTTGACACTTGTCTAAAGTTTTACAGCTTTGTCCTCCACAGCATTTTGTCCGTTTGGTCACATTAAGTGAATTATCATCTAAAGCAAATTCCTTTGAAATTGTTTTCATTGACTTTTTTGTCAATTACGGACGTGTTTTAAGATCATTATGTGCATTTTAGGGGCGTATTCAAGATTTATTTTTATTTTAGGGGCGTGTTTTCAGACGCCTACATGTTATGATCAATCAGATTACAATATAATTGATACATATGGAACACGCACTGGTCAAGGTGGAAGCAGTGACACGATTTTCAACATGAACTATCCGCAACCAACGGAACATTTCCAAGCATTCAGTTCTGTATGGCATGACCTCAAATGGACATTTGATTCAAACGAATTCCCGGAGGCAGCCATTAATTCTGATACAGGTTATATTTTGGCTGTTTTTTATGCCTTTGTTTGAAATTAAAGTCGTTGCTTACAGTTGTGACACCCAGCAAACAACTTTTCGAAGTAGAAACACGAAAGTAAAATAATGAAACATAAATAACAGTCATTATCTAATCTGTAAAGAGAAGAAATAAAATAATATAATTATAAAGGTAAATAATCCTAGTTCAAAAATTTTACAGCCGTTATTTCCCTTGATACATTGTGTTTTGCATAGATATACCATTATTCTATCGCAAATGTAAAGAAACGGTCAGATTTATGTTTTTATCCGTGAATTCGACATTGAATATCATCATTTTACGTTCAAAATTACCACTTAATATTGAAGAAAACTCTTACAAACATACAGTCCTAAATCAATTTTTGGAAGTTGTTATATGTTCTTACATCAAATTGTGACCGATTTTTTAATACATCCGATAGAGATACTCTTTAAATATCCAAATTCGCAACATTATTCCGTGGAACAAAAAACTATAAACTATATCTTGTCACACCAGTTTGATTCGGCTGCAGAAACACCAACTTTAGAAAATATGCCTAGTTTTCCTTTGATATCTTACCATTTACGTAAACATTAAATTTGTTTGCAAACTATTTTCAGGAGAAATATTCATCACTCGGAATATCAGCATCTGGCCATCATGGCCGACACAAGATTACAACCAAGTGGTACGGGTGTCCAACTCAGAGTCTTGTTATTCTTCAACGTGCAGTTTTAAAATTCGGATCCACTTCACTAATTGGGTATTTCTTATATCATAAGTTTCATGTAAATTTAAATAAAACAAGCTCTTTTATATTGACATGTCCTGTCATTCTTTATGCGCTACGATCGGGACGCACGTGGCCGAATGGTTAATGTCGTTGATTTTTAACTACTTGGCCCTCATCCTTGTAGGTTCTAGTCTCGCCAGCGGATTCGGAATTTTCATATGAGAAAGCTATCAAGTTAGGTGTCCGTTAATATACAGAGGAGCACCTGAGGACTTCCTGTACTATTAAAGCTGTAAAGTCTCTATATGACCTAAACTGTGTTATAACGAAGTAAAACCCAATAAAAAAAAGCCAAACTGAATGTCCTAATGAACACAAGGGTGGCATTTAATTCTTTGCAAGTCGTGCAAATAAGATGACCATATATTTTACGCTTTAGATTGAAATATTCATATGACTGTTTTGCGGCCATGTATATATGTTTTATCAGGTGTGGATGTAATGATTGAACACGGTTAGTGAGAAACTAGAAGTTTGCTATATAGCTAAGCCTTTGCGATGTTAAATCAGTATGGTTCACATGTAAAGTGACGTAGTGAGACTGACGATCTTTTTACGGTAATACAGGCCCAGAGCAATTGTTTTGCAATTGCAACCTTTTTTTGTTTCGACCTTAAAAATGTTTCTGGGGTCCGTAATTGAACCTAAACCTTATATACAGGTTTGCACGAAAATAAATCTGTGTCAGAGAAAATCATGCACAATGATCCCGTAGTTCTCTACATCATTACAAGTAACAATATGCTTGGGACCTTGACCATGTTAGTTGGAGCATGATAGAGTGGCGATGTGTCCTCTTTTTTGACTTTTTGCAATACCTACACTACAATGATAGGCTTGATATAGTATGGTGATGGGCCGGGGAAGATTCCATGCAACATGGTCGTTGTGACAAAGGCTCAATAGCAATCTTGAATGTATTCAGCTGGTCTTATCTCATTGCCCTTTACGGACGTTCACTTAATATCCAGCAAGTTAGGCTATATCACTCTTCAATAAGTGTTGGTAACTTTAATTTTTTTCATATTTTCCAATAATTATCAAAATAACCAACTTTGTTATTATCCACTTTAAAAGGAATCCCGAACACAGCATTAATTTTTTTAAAAAGTTTGTGTATGAAGGACTGTAAAAGTGGCTGAAAAGTAACGAATGTAAAAATTGACATTCAGCATATGTAAAAATTACTCTTGGTGCTTGGTAGCCTTTAGCTACTAGAAACAAATATATTTTCGTCACTCCGTTTATACTCCGACTTATAGGTCGTTGAGCGCCGCTCTTCCTTTTTACATGAATGTCTTATAATATTTTAACATATAATATATATGCACTGTTAGTATTTTTATTACATTTTAATTTAAGCCAATAGAAATTCGAAGTTTACCTTTAACCGTCTACCTTCACGAAGATTATGATCTGGAAATGAAAATACATTCATTGGTCACCTTTGATTATAATTACCACCTGGAAGACAATGTCACGTGCCAAATAGTCGACTGGTTTCCGAAAGAAGATAATATGTTTGAACTCAGGCATGACGGGAACCATGAATATGATTGTAAGTATCAACTTCAAGACTAAAACAAATTGACAATACATGTAATGGATTAAAAGTTGCGACGTATATGTAAAGGTTTTAGTTACAACAATCAATCGTAGTATGAAACCAGCACTGATTAAATTAAGATATTGATTGAAAAGAGATTTTCATGAAGTGTTAAAACTTTAAAAGATGCTGACAAAGAGACAAGTAGAAAATTTCAGTCTACCAAGCACATGATTGTAAATTCAAGGTTGAAATATTCTGGTCCTTCTCACCGAGGCCATTGTAAAAGGTTCAGCTTAATTTCTTACACATTAGATTGGGACCAGATAGATGGGTATGGAATCTTTCCATAATTTTTAACTGTAGCTTTTGTGTCATGAAAAGTATCTGTCATCTCGACATTTTAGCGTACAGCCTTTATAAGCTGAGATGTCAAGATCCAGATTGCGGTTACAAATACCAACAACCAAGGGCTTACTACTGTGATACTGATATCGGTTGCTTGACTCACAACCGCACTCAAGAATATACCGTAACAATACAGTGTTGGGACGCGTACAACTCAACCGACGTTGAGAACTTGACGTTTCGTGTTGTTAAAAATGCTTTGCCTGCCTACATAAATTTGCCTAGTAAGATAAAAACGATTTTTCAAGCTTTATATTCCTACACTTAAATTATCGAAAGGTTTGTGCATTGACCTGGTCGTTTACCATAATGAACGCTTTTGCAAATACAACACTGCGAACGATATCATCGTAAAACCATGCTTAAAAGACTCTATAAATATTTATATATTTACTGTAAATGCAAGGGACAACAACAAATTTCAATTTAAGTTGAATGTTTAATTGGTTTGATATTTATTCTCGCTTAGGTTTTCTAAGTCATTCGTATCGACTAGTAGAAAAATCTTTCACATTCGTACACACTTTTGTACCCATTGTGATACGTTTATTCCGCCAGCGTAAAAACGTCATGAAAATTTAAATTTATAATCTGTTTACCATTCCATTTCAGCAAAAGTTGAACTTCATCGACAGAACGTCTCATATCTGGACACCATTTTCGAGATTATGTACTCGGACGCTGAAAAAGAAAACTTGATTTATGAATATTCATACCAAGACGTTGACACTAATGTTGATCCGGGGTATTTCCTGGGAACTTCTTGGGGAAACTATTACAGTTAAGTACAGATATCAAAAAAGTTATGAAAAGATGAAAGTTTTATAAAAAATATATTTTTTAAACCGACATTAGTCATTGCGTTTATTACGTGTTTATGTGTCAATTCTACACTAATGGGATTTTATGAGATAATACTAGACAATCTAATCTTAAACGGTTTTTAAATTTAAGTAAAAAAAATATTCTAATACTTGAGTTGACTTTTACTCAAAAATTGGATTTGTGTGGTGAAAACTTCATCCCCAATGGTTGTTCACCAGAATATTTAGGCTTGCAACGGTAGGTCATAATGTGAAGGTGTAAAATGTTGTGTGTCATCTGTATATTATTGCCCTGAACTTAATTTAAGTCTTATAGTGGTCCTTCGAGAACGGCTATTCCAATTATTCCGATGCTTGTGGCGTTAGATATATATTTTTTCAGCAATTAACCTAAGGTTACAAAATAATGATGAAAATTGTCTAATTTCAAATTAAAACCACAAATCTTGTTACAGTTGTAAAGCATACTAACCTATTAAACCGGTTCTCAGGTGTTTATTATTTCCCTGAATTATGTTTTCATTACATTTTCTTTTTTTTTTCATCTTTTTATTATTTTATAGAAACTTTGGTCATACATTGTAACTGACGATAAAAATCTAATGGTTCATAAAACTCCGCATTAAAAACCCAAACAAATAAGAATCGTATTTAGAGGGCAGCCACTATTTGTAACAAGACAAGACTTCGTGAAGAGAATTCCTTGAGAAATGAATTTAAGTGATATTTTACAACCATATTTGTTAAAAAATATGAAAAATATGACAGAAAAAAAACTTAAAAGGTTAGCAGTTATGTATTTATCATTGTCAAACGATTTAATAAATACAGAAAATAAGAACTGTTTGTAGCTGAAATAAATTAAATAATATTATTGTTAATATAAGTCTAAATCCATGCGATTTGCTGCAATAAGTAAGGGTCATGAAGACACTTCCAAAACCTTAGTCTTGGTCAGTGTAGAAAAGTTAAAGTCTGTACCGTTCTCGTGGCGAAAGCAATTTAAATTTAACAAAAGAAATCCATCATACTTTACATGATCACGCCCAACTTTTTTTAAATTCGTCAGTTTTGTAATTTTGTCAATATAGAACCTTAATTAAAAATAGCTATACTGTACCATCAGCTAGCTTAAGCTTTAAAATCAATAGGTTCAATACACATAACTCTGAAATCAATTTTGAAATTAAGAACAAATTTTCTGCGACAATTTCATTAACCTTTAAACCGATTGTTATATTAGAAAATTTTACACAGTAGCATTTTTCTTTATATTTATCTACTCTACAGTGAAATTAGTAAGAATTTCCTTAAAGTTAAATATTCGTGAAGTACGTAGCAAATTGTGTTTATCCCTTAGACTGTTGTAATGAATTTCCATAAATTTAAATGGTTACCACATTTGATCAACATATAGAAGAATACGAAAGATAAATATCCTATGTTTAGTATCAAAGGTAACCACTAAATAATGCAGTATAAGCAAAAAGTTTTTTGTTGTGTGATCAAACAAATAATTTTTTTCAGAGTATTTTATTTGTTTCTAGATCAACTAGGCAACATAACCATGACGACATATCTATGGGATAAGGAAGTCAACAAAACTTACAAGATTCACGTTTGTGGTCACGAGAGGAGGAACGAGATTTGTGAAGATCTCATTGTTGACGTTAAAGGTCTGGTATAAATTTAAATATGTAGAAACAACTATTCAATAGAATTTCTTTATACTTGGCATGTTGTATGAATATGATAATAGAAACATTTTGAGCGGGGGGAAATTTGGTTATTTTCTCGTTTTTGAGTTATCTGCCCCTGAATTGGACTTTTTGCTCAACTCAAAGGCAGATAATTCCTAATGAAGGCAAACAATACCTTATTTTTTCTTATTTTCAAAATGCTTACTTCTTTTTGAGTTAATGTGCAAATATTTCAAGAACGATTAAAAGTCATATTGGCCTTTTTTCCTTTCTTCTCTAAACCTGTGCTCTTTTCTCTTAAAAAAATATTTTTAGTCATTTCATTCAAACTGAAAAAATGTAACATAAATATTTTTTTGTAATCAAGTTATTATGTATTGTGATTAAAACTAATACGAAATTATTATAAGTAAAAACCAAAATTTTGTAAACTTAAATATAAGTTATTTGCCCTTGAGCTGGGCCATCACCATAACAATTTAGTTATCTGTCCCTTTAAGTGTTAATAAGAAATGCAGTATATACAGTTTTCAATTACTATTAACGTTATACACATTCACAATGAATATTTAGCGTAATGAGTTAGTGACGATGAAGTCGATGTAGGTTAAAAGTTTTTTCCCTTTTTATCATTACTCGTATTATTATAGATCATTGGTCTGCAAAGACAGGAATTAAGTGGGCCGGATATTATAGGGTATTGATATCCAAACCAACAAAATGTATTTTAACATACATCTAACTATGTCATAAGACAGAAAGGCGCTTTATTACTATTTAACAAGTTGATTATTTCACAGATTTTAAAATTCCCCCGGAAATTACAAATTTACCTGATTCAAAAACATTTCCTGAGGATACCCCTGTCGGAGCGACTTTATTTACGGCGGCGATATCAAATCCTGACGTTGGAGAATCCATTACAGTTACCGTTAGTGTGGACCCAGACTCAGAGCAATCGGTGTTCAATTTGGATACCTTAAGTACAATACACGTTTGTTTGACTTACATGTATAGAGATATTTTAAAGAGTCCATGTTTAGTTTTGAATACGACATGCATTTTCTTTTTCATTAAAAAGGCTATGTTAACAATAATATTATCATTATAAAATGCATCAATTTTCATTTATTTATAATGTTATTATGACACATTCATTGTGAAATCGATAACAAATTTCGAATGTATTTAAAAGCAATAATAATTATATACACTTGCTATTGTGTGAATCCCTATTCTTTTTTCTTGTAATAATACTTTGTTAATCATATTATATGTATATATGAAAGGCATTTTTTATTTTTAAGATAATGTAAAGATAAATATATGGATCAAAGTATACTCGTAGTTTACCTTTGCATAATATAAAGACAATACTAGTAGTTTCTGTATTAGATAACACCTTGTATAAGTAGTCAAAATATATTTCTCAAATATTTATTGTTAAAACTCATTAAATTTTTCTGGAACATGTGAAATAAAAAAAATATCATATTTTAATCAGTTAATCTACTCTATATGGCCCGTAAAATTTACTAACATTCTATAATTTTTCTTTTCATTTATAAAACTTTGCAGTCAAAGTAATTTGTTATTATGCATAAACTCACGGGACTTTGTGTAATATTTTGAAGAGTAGGTTTCATATCCCAATATGGAGCGTTTGAAAAATGTGTTTCTTGTTACAATAAAAAAGATTATTTTCTAATTTTTAGAAAATATATGACATCTCTACGCCTCTCCATAATCAGGTTGTAGTGCAATTGCAATTATGCCATTTTGTTATAAGATTACTTGTAAGTGAATTCATTAACTTTGAAGTCTGCATACTTAAAACCCTGCACCACATTACCACAAATAAAATAACAACATCCCAACATTACAGACCTTTTTGTTACTGAATTCATTAGAAGCATGGGCATTTTTTTTATTGGAATAATTTAAAAGGGCCATAGTATCAATAATCTCTGATCTTTTTATTGTTGTTTTTAAGACGGAATTTTGACTCTTGGCAAGATTCTTGACTATGAACGTGTCAATAGCTACATGTTAACGTTCTCCGTAAGAGATGACTATCTTGATGGACAAGCGGAGAAAACTCTGAAAATTTCCGTGACAAACGTCAATGAAGGCAACTCCATAAGTGCTACAACAACTACTATATCATTTACAGAGGATACGGTAACAAGAACACTTATTCTACTCACTACATACTTGATAATTGCATTTATTATGTACCTTATAATTTGAAGCTTTCATTAATATATGATATCTGTATATATTGTATAAAAATAGTTACTGATTAAAACATAAGATGTACTGCATTCATATAATTTCCAGAAATAGTTCAGCAATTACAATGAACAATGTCTTACGTACTTTTGAATATTAAGCCTCTACCCAACAATATTAAAATTCTATCTTTAAACTTTCGCGGTTTTAAATCAAAATTACATTGCCCTAATATAACGAATTGGTGAATGGCCCTAGCAAAATTAGTTTTCAAGAAATAAAAGCCGATTGTTAACATTAAATTGAAACACAAAATTATGATGTATAACTTACTTTAAATATCGTAAAAGAAAAACCAGAAAAATATATTAAAATTTGTAACAGTTACAGAGTTTGATAATGATCTTGTAGTAAAATTTCAGATTTTTCTAAGCTTTTTATGTAAATCTGAACAGCCATTTTCTGTGGTGTTTACATACCACCCGCATACTTGGACTATGCAGTTGATGAACCTATTTCTGAAATTCAAGACGATTTCAATCGCCTATCCGACAGTTATTCCGCGCATATTTTATTTAGAGATTTCAATTCTCGTACGAAATCAATTGAAGATTTTATTTCCGTCGATAGACGTTCTTTCGAAACCAAAACTTATGTATGTTTGTGTTCATCGGAAATCGGAAGAATATGCATATTTTATTACCTCAGCCAATCTGAATCTGCTATTTCAGTTCATTATGTTCTGTATGGAAAAGTTTATATTATAGGTTTAAATTGTATGCTTGCAACTTTATTTTCCAGACTGCAGGCACGGAGCTATCAGATCCTGAATTGTCTTGCACTGATATAGATGGTGACACAACACAATACGCCATACAGAGTGGTCTATATAATGACTACTTTAGGTAAGTGGTCCTCTTTTAAATCAAAGTTCATTTTAAGGATATAAAATTCCGGTTATGATAACTTTATTCGAAAAACCTCTTATCATATTGTTTACTAAGTTGCTGCGTTCATCAACGGCATGGTGAGAATTGCTTTTTTCAAAAACATTTTAAGGAAGGCCTTGTAAGTAAGTAAAAATAAATCAGCCTCTATAAATAACACTTTCATAGATATCGTCTATAGGGTAGTGCCATAATTCAGAGAAAAAACAGCAATGATTTTATTGAAATGATCGAAATATTTTAAACATTTAAAATGACAAAAATGTGAACTGTTTAATGAATTTGTCAAACAGTGTTATTATATACTCATACAATTGTTTGTGAATTGATATATGAATTCTTGTATTATCGTATTTACCGCTCGTCTTGACAACATATCTACATATAGTTTTTGATATTAATTACTTCTATTCGAAAGTATTGACAGTAAAAATGGACGCATCGCACTTGTAAAAGTATGGGATTTGGAAGACTCGAGCACAACTTTACCTTCATCGACATCTTTGATAATAAGTTGTACAGATCTTGGCGGTCTTAGTTCAACAACAGCAATAACGGTGAACGTACAAGACGTCAACGACCACGCGCCTGTTCTTTTGATTGATGCAAATTACAGTCAACCAATAGCGGTAATTTATCCCCTTTCGGGATAAACTGGTTTTTGAGGCGCCGGTAGAAACCGGCGACTATATTTGTAACAGTTTAATATTATAGCTATGGTAGGAGAAGGCCTTAAAATCTGTAAATAAAAATATATCAATTCCTGAACAATTAAAGACTATAATTGTTTTCAGTAATCTCAAAAATTCAAACATACAATAACGTTGCTCAATGAAATGAAATATTCAAATATTGAAATCTTAAAAAGCAACATTACACTTTTTATAAAATGAATTAATGATGTATCCCTATGGATAAGTCATTGAATTTAGGGATACTTTTACTTATTTCAAAGTGTCAAGCGTTGCTATTTTATGTTAAATAAATCATGCATGATATTTGAAATGACACTTTAAATTATCTGGTTGTTTATATCTTATGAGACCTATTCTATTTTATTTTTTTATTTAGTTTTAAACTATTTCTCCTTGTTTCTTTGTAAGAATTACGTGACTACACGCTGTATGTAATTGTTATAAAATCTATTTATAGTAACAAATGCCTGATAAGACCGACATACAGGTAACTTGTGAATGGTTGGCACAAGGTATAGAAGCTGATAAAGTACGAATCAAAGTAATTTTGTATGAATAATTACAAAATCTCGGTATGACGGCAGTGGGCCGGAATCGTATTGGATACATAGAGAAAACTAATAAACTATCTTTGTGCTCATAGTTTATCGCACTTTGAAAACGTTAACTATATCGTATGTAACGATATATCGTATGTTACATTACGACGGGAATATTGATAACTAAATTATATATTTTTTCGATAGTGCGTAAGAATAAGTTTGTTTATGCAGACACCACTTTTTCATTAGAATTGCATTGTTTTATGCAATAATTAAGCATATATATTTTCACAGTCACTTTGCAAATATTCGATGATCGGTAATTATTTGTCGGTAATTATCGGATTCTGAAGTAATCTGTATGGTACAACGGTATAATATGTATAACGTAGAATTACAGGTAGATTACAAGCATATCATTTGCTTTACAATCCTCGCTGACAAGGTGTTAGATTTTCAATTTGTTTCAAATTGAAGACTGTAGGTTCAATAAAGTGATTTTTTATGGGTTTTTTATGATATCTTTTTCTGTATTTTGCAAAACTTGACCATTTATCAAAATTATAAAATAAAAAAAAGTGCTAGAAATGAAACACACGATTTATGAACTGATGTTTCACATAGTTAAAAGATATAATAAAAATCAATTTAGGAAAACTACAAACAGAATTTGTCCAAGATTTGAACTTGCTCCTACTAAGTGACAACTTTGTCATACTTACTAGGCCATCGAGCAGTATTAATTGATATATACATGTAATTATACTTACAATAAAATCGTTAACATTAATCATAATAAGTTTTGAAAACTAACGAAACAGCTCACGAAAATTCATGAGTCTTGGTTAAATACTGCCAAACAAAACATGCTTATTTAATAATGATAACAGTTTCTTGACAAAATTGCTCAGCAAGTTTGCTTCAAATATGATGTTTTATTATAACATAACATAAATTTATTGTATAAAACTTTTTACAAAGTTTATAGCAAGAAAGATATAATTGTGGCAAGTACATGAAAACATGTTTACGAATAAACATTACTCAACTTATTGTACCTCTTTTCTTTATACTCGAACCATTAAACTGATATTTTCTTTTATTAATGATAATACAATCATATTTTGTATCAGGCAACTTGATGCTTTAGCATCAAAAACTCTACATGTTCATTTATGTCCTATGATTAGTTTGAATGAGGCATCCATGCTATTTGATCACATAATCTTGGAGCATTGTTTTCTGTTTTCTTTTTGTATTGACAAAAAGAGTACAAAATGCTATATTCAAACTTTTCTTCATACATGTAATTGGTTACATAAATATATGTTTTGATATTTTACTTTTATTTGACAGAGTATGCTCAAAAGCTATCATATGAAATTTTGGAAAAATATCTGACTTTGCTTTTATTCATATAATCAAAACATTTCAAACATTCCTTAAACGTCTTATACATAATAATGCGAAAACCTATTATTTACTTGTTTTACACTGTAGTGATAATAAGAAATATTTTCACTTTTAATTTGTCAATTTCAATATAAAAATTGTCAAATTGGAAGTCGTTTAAGTCGCTATAGTTTATTGAAAAATAATCATTATCATCTTTTTCAAATTCATAGAGCGATATTGAACAGAAGTTTGAGTATGAATTTACAAATTATATTTGTAAATTCATTGTAAATTTCTTGCAACATTCTTCTAAAATTCAATCTATTTTCAAAGATATATAACAAAGAAGGTCACTTGGTATTGTAAAAATATATATAACCAGACAAAAGGCCAGAAAGATTTGTTTTGTTTTATGACTGAAAGTTTACTTTAAATTGGAAGAACAACTTAGTATATTTCAATAAAGAAAAAAATCCACTTTTAAGTTACGGAAACAAAAAAGTGTATTCAAAGGTGCCATTTCATATTAATAGATTCTTTAAATTTAAACTTTTGTACTAAGTTTGGGTATAAGGGTTATACTAATAAGCTGGTCGGTGATCCGGTAAATATCTTGATATTTTCTTCATTTATTTAACACTTTTGTGCTATCTGTTTCAGTTACTCTTACAACTAGATTGTTTTAATTTTATTTTCATTTTCTACTTGCAATGTTATCATGCTTCATCTTTATTTGCTTTCTTTTCTTAGTGACATTGCTGCTTTGTCGTCATGTACCTTAGAACAAATAATTTAATGTATTATGTATATCTGGGCAATTTATACAACATTTTCTGTTCACATGTTTTTTTCGACGTGTTGGACAGATCTTAATCAGTAAATGACAATTTAGTAAGAAAACGAGGAGAGTTTATTTAATCAATGACACACACACACACACACACACGCACGCACGCACGCACGCACGCACGCACACACACACACAAATACAAAAAGCCACCCATGCCTGTTCTTCTTTTGTTCATAGCTGGTTGATTTAACAAAACATTTTATGAAGCAAAGTGCAAAATAAAGAATTAAAGATATTCAAACATGATTTAGGATTTAATTGACAAATAAACATTAGTTATAAGGTATAAAATATTTTTAAAGATAAATAACAAAATCTACCTCAGTTTAAGTGTTGCATGTACCGCTTAACAAAGAAAATTAACAGATGTTTGCCTCCAATGCTGATATTAGGATACAGTCATATTCTGCATACTATACAAGCATGTAAGAGGAAAGGTCCAATACATTATACTTGTAAGAAAAAAATCCAAGGCTACATGCAATTGCTTGTGCAGGTACCTGAAACATGGTTTTAGAGAAAATCCATGAACAAAATACAAGGACTCACGGTTATTTCACAGTTTATAACGCACATACTTCAAGAATACGTTATATGTCACCAATGTCAAATAAAATATTGTTAACTTAATCATTTCTAATAATATTGGAATGTTGTATGCTTTCAAAATGAATTGAAACATCGTCCTGCAAACATGCACACATGAGTTAAACAATGTTTAAATGTAAAATATTAATCTTAATGGGATAAAGTAAATGATTAAGCACGAGTTAATTTATATTCCTCTCGAACAATTGAATTATATTACACACTTTTTGTCATGGTTTTGCTACCGTGTGTTTATTTTCTCTCAAAAATATGTTTTCTTCAACTTATCTTTCTTTTAGATAAACGCTTCAACGAATTTGAACACTAACCTCATGACGTTTAGCGCGAGCGATTTAGACTTTAGTGATGACAACAACTTTGGTTTTGAGATCATGAGTGAAGGAGTCGGGGCTGAATACTTCCAAATAGTTAAATCTGGACCTGCGACAGCAATACTTAGACTGAAGAAAAATGCAGATTTCACTAATGATCAAGTATTTCCTATCACAATCAATGTAAGAATAAATATTTTTCGACATTTCTTTTAATAATCATATTGGTTTCTACCTTTTATTTTAATATAAATGGAATAACGTTTGTATTGCTAGATAGCTAAGTATTGCTAATATTAAAACAATACCAAAGTTGGAATTTTATATATTTTTTATCAAAGCAGCACTTTTATTTTTTACATAGAATTTTTACTACGTACATAAACGATATATTAATGGCAGGAAATCATTATTGTTGTTTCATTTTTGCGTTTACTCATTTTTTTTTTATTTTTTTTTTTTTTAATCTTTGAATAAACAATGTGTGGGAAGTTCATGGGAAGTCAAAATTTGTTTACTTTATATTTAAAAAGAGACAACTGTAACGTTTTAAGGCACACAAACCCTGGCTCACCACCGAGAGTGGTTTATGCCCTTATATATTGGATACTTTCTTATATGTGAATTCATCACCTTTAAGCTTCAGTCTCACTTACATCCCGGTAGACGTCCGGGGTGATCCGGGAACGACCGGGGCACGACCGGGAACAACCGGGGTACATCCGTAACTCTGCCGGCAACGTCCTGGATGATCCGAGATGATCCGGGAACATCCGGCATTCGACCCCGGATGGAATAAAATATTTCATATCACCGGGGTGGTCCGGGATGATCCGGGAAGGTATAGCGCTTTGCCGGCTTCATCCTTAGCTCTGTCGGGAACGACCGGGGTTATACCGGGAAAGCACCGTAGCTCTGCCGGCACAAACCGGGGATAATCCAGGGTATGATATAGCCGGTAGAGCTACGGTAGAGCTACGGTAGAGCCCCGGTATATGCCGGCAGAGCCCCGGTAACTACAGGCAGAGCCCCGGAGGATAAAGGTAGAGCTACGGTTGATCCCGGTAGAGCCCCGGCAAAGCCCGGATCATTTCAAAAGAATAACGACAATTTGCGATGATTGCACTTGTTTGAATTAAAAGCCTTCCCATTTTCCATCTATCCAGTATGGCATAAGGATTTTTCAGAAAATCATCATGAATTACTATTCTGGAACAATAAATGTTATATTAGATAAATATTATGTTTCAATGTTATCATTTTCGGGCGTTTTCAATCCACCGGGGTTCTACCGGGGCTCTGCCTGGATCATCCTGGGCTCTGCCGGGGTTCTGCCTGGATCGACCGGGGCTCTGCCTGGGTCAACCGGGCATCTTCCGGCGTCATCCGGGAACGACCGGAGAAGCACCGGTATGAACCGTAGCTTCACCTGGGCTCTGCCTGGATGATCCGGAGCGCATTCTGGGTGGTTAGTAGGGAACTACCGTAGTGCTGCCGGGGTAAGTGTGACTGCAACAATAATTTCATCCCGGATCGTCCCGGATCATCCCGGTAACTTACCGGGATGGTCCTGGGCTCTGCCGGGAGTAAGTGAGACCGAGGCTTTAGTTTTTGCATATTGTAATGCTCATTATGGGTATTATGACGTTCTACCAACGTCGTTACACTACGTAGCAATTATCTATATTCTGTAATATCAATTTGAGCATAGTATATCTTTAATTTAAAAATATATTTTCTTTATGTCTGCATGATGATGTATATTTGAAGTGATATTTCGAAACTTTAAAGGTATCCGACGGAGAAACAATGCCATTATTTGATGGCGAAACTATCTCTGTGATTTTCACTGCTGGAGATCCCGACGCTGATAAATCGAAACCAAAAGATTGTTTTACCTGTACAACTACTGGCATAACATTGTTAATTGTACTCGTTGGAGTATCTGTTGGACTGTCCATTTTACCTATTATTTTCATTTGCTGCAAATTGAAAAGTGATAGTGCGTAAGTGTATTTATTTATGGTTTATACACAATACTACTCTGATTTGTAAAGCTGAACTCAATAGAGATTCATTTGAATTCATGCGAGAAATTATAAAAATGTTATGATAATTGAAAATGTCAAGTAAAGACACACAAAAATTAAAAGCAATTTTAAACTCCTTAATATCTTATTAAAAATTACTGACCGAGTTACACGCGATTTTACAAAGATTAATTAACATTAAACACACTTTGATCAGTAGAGGGGTGTGTCATTTAGACCAAATGGAGAAGGTTGAAATTAGTACCTCTGTAAGAAAGGTTTGTCCCCAAAGGAAGTCCATGAAGACTTCATGAATACACTTGGGAAGGAGTCCCCTTTCTATAGCACTGTTAAAAACAGATATTTCAATATATCTTTTGTCTCGCTACGAGGATGAACCTGATTTTATCTACCGGATCAAAACTCACTCAGGATGAAATATGGGTCCATTTCTTCGATCCAGAATCCAAAAAACAGAGCATGCAGTGGAAGCACCCTGTCCCACCCCCTCCGAAGAAATTCAACAGGGTGCCATCAGCAGGGAAGATAATGGCTTTAATTTTTTGGGATAGTCAGGGGATAATCATAATTGACTATCTTGAGCAAGGTCGTACCATAAACGGTACGTACTATGCAGACGAATTTAAAAGTCTGCGTCAAGAAATCGCGCGTAAAAAGAGGGGCAAACTGACTCGAGTTTCTCTGACAATGAGTTCTTTGAAGACCAAAATAGAGAGTTCTATTTTGAAGTGTTAAACAAGTTGGAGCACAGGTGGGCAAAGTGCATTGATGTAGAGGGCGATTATATTGAAAATTCGACCATTAGTTGGGTTCTCTGACTACCGGAAGTACATCGGGCCAAGAAATTTATTTTGTATAATCGTAATATAATTTCGTAAAAACGATACAGCATTGCATTAACTATAGGATAGGAGAATAAAAGCTATCAAACACGACTAACGCATAGTGATGATACTATGTTCCTACGAAATACTTTTACATTCTAACGGTATAAAAACGTATTCGACTTAAGGAGCACCGTATTCAATTAACGTTTTGTTTCATAACATTTTGAGTTCTTCATTACAAATACGCAGGTTTTAAATCTCTAAGACAAAAAGTTAACCTTTTCTGTTATTTCAATCTGTACATTTCTTTCTTATAAACGTCAAACATACTATGCTAAAATTATTCCATCTTTTCCTCTTTGATAGCGTGCATACACTCCCTAATATGGAAAACCAAAGTATGCAACAAATCTCTGAACAGCCAATAACAGTCAGTGAGCTTTCTGGGGAACATGAAGGTAGCGCCATAGAAATTAGCCAAATGGGCCGAACGTGTATTGACAATGGAAGAAGTGAAGAGTCCAACATTCACTCTATCATTATGTAATCTGATAGCGATAGATAATTTGCTCGGTAAGATGTTGATAAGAAAAAAATTGTTCATGAAAGCATTTACGTACTGCTCATTTTGTTCACGTTTTTTTAAACTTTATTTCATATGAAACAAATAACAACTTTTAAATGAAAAAAATGCATCTTTCAGGAATTGAATACTCAGATAATTTAGACAATGTAGATACTTAAAAGCGTTAAATTATCATGATAACAATGCCGAATAGATCGCCAAATTGTCATAAAGAATGAACTTATTTCAAAGCATCACCTTTATTACTACTTATAAAGCAAAAGAAAATTAACTGGAAATATTCAAGTCATTTCGTTATATATTGCAGAAAAAAAATTTCGCTCTTTCATATTGTGCTGTACGTTTTCAGATAACCTTTGATTTTTGTCATCAGACCCGAAGCTAGCCGCAGCAAAGTTAACCACTACCTACAACTAGATCAATGAAACTTGACAACTGATGCCACCTATGTTTGCAACCAAGAATATCAACAATATTTCTGATTATTGTATAAAAATGTATAATTGTATCTGAAATTTTTTGTGAAAAGTACATTGAATATTGCAAAGTATGATTTATGGTTATGGCAAATTTGTTAAAAATGAAAACATTCTTTTTGTTCTTGCAATGTAATATGCTTCTGAATTTTTATGTTGTTTACCTTTTTATTAACATTTTTTACATTAACACATGTATTCCTGGAGAAAGTTGTTGTTATTGCAATTATTTTCTTATTGTTTAAAAAAGTAATATACAGAAATTCAAGTTGTTCAAAAATTTGTTTCATAGCTTGAGTATAAACAGTAGAAGTTTCTAGTGTGTATGTCTCAGCCACCTACGCAAATTTTAGTTCACATTAAACATTTACAATAACTTGAAATATAGATGTGTATCTTTGACTCATACGGTCAATAACTTTATGCATTTTAAGCAACTGCTTCTTTCGTCTCAAAATTTTAATTATAAATTATCTAAAGTACTCCAGACCTAGATACATGTATCTACAAGAAATTAGCATGTCAATTAACACGGATCGAACAATGATCCTTTCAATATCCAGATTGTATGACAAAATATTCGAAACCCCATACATAATGTTAGTAACATATGGCATCGAAAATAATCCCAATTAATGTAGCGGTTTATTAATGACTCATATCATACAAGAAATTTATTTAAAAGTGCATTTTGATTACATGTATCTTACTTGAAAGATTTCTTTACTTGATTGATTGATTAATTTTCTGACAATGCAACATATATGAATAATGGACAAAAACAAAACTCTTATTTGAAAAACTAAATATTATAAATGAATTTGAAAATATTTCTGGTATCAAACTGGTCTCGAGCCAAATATATTAAAATATGGTGTCTTGAAGTTGGAGCCATAAAAAATCTAAAATGGGTTGAAAATATGAACTTCATCTAGATATCAAAAGAAACTAAGCGCAGACTCTAAAATGAGTATGTTAAACTTGGGACCTAAACTGCAAGAAATAAACAATGGTAAGGTCGTAAATCAGCAATAATGGGAAGTCACCTATGTTACCTGTAAAACTTTGCCCCGTACTTCGCTTCAGAGTTGTTAAATTTTCCAGGTCCTTTGGGCTCATGGATTCAAGCTTGTATAAGGGTAGAAGATTGAATACCGCTCAAGCCGCGGCAAGTGGGCATGAGAGATGTTGTACTTTTACATTATCTCTTAATAAGATCGAGTCTGCAATCTTCATACACTACTTTTGTTTCACTGTTTACGATTTTGTTGTTTCACTGTTTACAATATTGTTTTTTACTGTTTCCGATGGTTCATCCTTTTTTTCATTGCTTTCTGTAAATACAAAGGAAGATGGCCACATAACCGCCATATTTTTAAACTTATCAAAGTTATTTGAACAATTTTGAAATATGTAGATGTTACCTTATGTTATATTCTGTTTTCCTAGTATAATTAATGTATGTATCAGTTGGAAGATAGAAAACTAACTGAAATGAAACTCTCATGTTTCGTATGAATCAATCTGACTGCTAATGATTAGCATGTGCGGTAGCATTTTAAACCTTGAATCTGTTCAGCTTGGATTTGTAACAGTCTACATCTACATCTACATTATACTGCTTCAAAATCGTAATCAATTACACTTAGCAGGTGCGTTATCTGGGAAAAAGCTGTTAAAAATCAAATATGTTAAGTGCAAATTTAAAGACATAAGGTTAAAGCAAGTTAAAAAGAACTACAAAACTGAAATAGAAATTAAAAACAAACCTGTCTAAGAACTGGTAAAAGGGATGCAGCTACCCAGTAAAGAGGTCTAAACTGGGACTAGCTTGTAAGAACACGGGTAGGCCTTTCCACAGACGAATATTTCTGGGGAAAATGAATAGGAGTTGAATATGGTATAAGTAAGTTCAGGTTTCTAGTGGGTGTCAGATGGTGATGGTCGACCCTCACAAGATTGTGTTGGATTTTGTAGAGAAATGTAACAGAGCTGATGTCGCGCCTCTGTTCTAGTGTTTGCCAATTAAGTTCACTTATCATTTTTAAATGTTTGGATATTGTCAATTTATCTAATGTTGTCTGGTAAAGAATTCCAGTCTTTTATGGCATTGTAGAAAAATGTATTTTTAACATAAGAATCATTTTGAGGCAAAACAAAATTAAAATTACTAGATCTTAAATTGGATATTCTACAGACCTTAAACAATTCCTTTAAATAAGAAGGGCTTTTGTTGTAATAAACTTTATGAATGTGGTTGAGTCTTAACTGTCTAACTCTATCATTGACATTTAATTATTTAAGATCGGACAGAACCTTATTTGTCACCGAAGTCCTAGGAGTGTAGTCTTTTATAAAGCGCACAACCATATTTTGAGCTACTTGAAGTTTGTGCTTCAGTGACTTACTCAGTTCTTCGTACCAAGAAGATGAAAAATAATCAAAGTGACACAGCAAAAGGGCAGGACATAACTGTTTCTTTATTTCTTCCGATCAACAATTTTTGTAACGGTATAGAAAATGTAATCTTCCATTCACCTTTGAAAGAATGCTCTTGACAATTTTATCTCCTGATAAGTATAACAATCGATATTCTTACCAAGATATTTAACTTCAGACGAAGACTTTATTGTTTGATCATTACATGAAATGGAAAAAATTTGTAATTTATTAATTTTTGATTTAGAACCAAATAGCATACATTCAGTCTTGCCCAGGTGTTGAGATAACTTATTATCAACTAAAAGTAAAATGTAAAACTTTTTTTAAGTAATGAAAATGATAAACAAGTGAATAATATGTTTATTTATTATTAAATTGATGTGTAACTTATGATAAGGTTTTGTAACATGTTTATGTTGTACTTGATATGTTTTAGTTTAAACGAAATTTATTTCATTTTGTTTGTGAACAATGTACTTGTCTTAATATATTGAAAAATGTGACTTGATTGTTGAAAATTATCATTTATTTTAACTTCTTTATAATTCATTTATTATTATGTAAGTTAGTGTACTAATTTTACAGTAAATGGACCCCATTGGAAATAAGCTTTTTGCTTAATGGGCAATCCTAGGGTTACATAGAACATACATGTACTCATTAATTAATCTTATAATTATTTTTATTGCATTGTGTGTGTTTTTATATAAATGCAAGTAAACACAATACGACGTAAGTTTTTATTGTTGAAAACTTGATAAAATAACGTCTTTTTCTTATTATTTCTTTTGTTTGATAATTTCTATATCTTCGCATGAACAGTAGGGTGCGAAAATCGAACAGCGTTATACGAAAATCGGCACCGGAAATTATTTCCGCTTGAAAAATAACATTAGTGATTTTCCTTATTTTATCGTGTTAGAATAGAAATAGCATCGGCCTGAGAGGTGTATATCGGCTATTTAACACCGGTTTGGAGTTTTGATGCGTAGGAATTAACCGGTGTTAAATAGCCGATATACACCTCTCAGGCCGATGTTATTTCTTAAATGAAAAACTGAAAAAGTTCATGAAAAGTGATTATGTAGATCTTGGAGGATTCGTCAAATATCCAACACACTACGATAATGACAAAGTTCATCCGTCACAAAGTGGACTATTAAAGATATTATTATATACCTATAAATTTTCTCCCTAAAATACACGCAAATATTGAAGCGCAAATACGCTTCAACGGATAGAAATTTCCGTATTATGTTAGTGACAAATACGGTACCATATATGGAAGTGCCGGACTATTTTTGACGTTGGTTCCGATCTTAGCTTTGTATAACGTTGCATTTGGAAACGGGAACCAAAATTATTAAAGGCGTGGCCGGTTTGCAAGAATTACGTATTCATCCGTCAGTCATGAATTTATTTCTTGACAACTACATTTCATTTTCTGAATAAAACGAAAAGGTATATAATAAAAGGAAAATTATGTTATAGTAGCTTTCTGAGACTATGTATTTTTCTACTCGAAACGTTGGAAAATTGATATCTCGCTCGACCTTCTGTCTCGCGAGATATCAATTTTCCACCGATGCTCGTAGAAAAATACAAAGCCTCAGAAAGCTACTACAACATAATATTCCGTATTTATTATATACCTATAAATTTTCTGCCTAAAATACACGCAAATATTGAAGCGCAAATACGCTTCAACGGATAGAAATTTCCGTATTATGTTAGTGACAAATACGGTACCATATATGGAAGTGCCGGACTATTTTTGACGTTGGTTCCGATCTTAGCTTTGTATAACGTTGCATTTGGAAACGGGAACCAAAATTATTAAAGGCGTGGCCTATTTGCAAGAATTACATATTCATCCGTCAGTCATGAATTTATTTCTTGACAACTACATTTCATTTTCTGAATAAAACGAAAAGGTATATAATAAAAGGAAAATTATGTTGTAGTAGCTTTCTGAGACTTCGGTCTCGCGAGATATTAATTTTCCACCGCTGCTCGTAGCAAAATACAGAGCCTCAGAAAGCTACTACAACATAATATTCCGTATATATCTTGCGTAGAGTGTGCTTTCAGAAAGGTGTGATTGACTTTCATATGTTTACTTTAAAATGCTATATATAACAATAAATGTAAATCGGATCATATTGTTATTGTTTCTTTAAATACAGAACATATACATCTTATATGACTAAATAAAAACAACTTTTCTCGTAAACCAATAAATGCACTTACCTCACAACAGATACAGTGGTCTTCACAATTTTCATTGCACACAGAGCACGGGAATAGTTCCGACATTTTTTAATCCAATAAAACACACAGAGAAAAAATTATATGTAGTTATTTAAAATTAAATAAATAGAACACAAACTGATTTAAAATCACTTTTTATTAATATTTAATGACTCACACTGTTCAAAACGAAAGTAATTTCAAATAAAAAAAACACAAAAAAACACACACACACTCAGATTAAAAAGCACGGGACAAAGTTCTCAAATTTTGAAGAAAAAAAACCCAATCCCTTAATCCCAATAACAGGGGATTTAACCCCAAATGAAAAATGAAATTTCTATGTTATGTAAATTCGAATTTTAGCGCCTTGATTGCTACCGACAATCATGTGCACGTGTCATACGATGCATCATTTTTCCAGATAATGTCCGTGCATAACCTAATCGATCAATACAATTTACTTAATAGAGATATTATTTTCATATTACACTTATTTTCATTCATATCACTAAATATTATTTTGGTTATCAGTTCTTATATTCGTAAAAATGCGTTCATATATCGGTTCCATAAAGATCTTATTACATGTTTATTTTCGCACAGTAATTAAATAGTACAAATCTTATTTTCGACTATATATCATGATACTCTCAATAACATCCTATTTTCGTACAATGATCAATTCATACAAGTTAAATAACTGTTTGTTAAAAGATCAAGTATTTTCTTAATAAAATAATAATTTTCATTTTGATCTTATTTTCGTATCTGTTGTATTTTGATACAGTTTCTAAAGGGTCTTATTTTCGTATATACCATATTTTAGTATGTACATTATCTTAATACAGCTTTCTTATTTCATGCTTTCCAGTGTTTTATTGTAATATATCAGATGATTATATTCTGATAAACCACTAGTGAAATTTATAAAATATAATTTTCACTGTAGCCGGACTATATCTGAATGCGGATGAAAAGAAAATCATAACTAAATGGAATAACAGGCAGAAATAAATGCCGTCATGCGTAAATTTTGCTTCTTTAAGAAAAGAAAGTCGATGTCATCATACATCATGTTAAAAATGTAACAAAATTAGAGAAATTTAACAGACCTATATTTCAAAATTGATGATGTGACGTCATGATATGATGACGTCACAAAGGCGAATGCGTGACGATACGCGGCAAAATCAGTAAAAAAATACTTAAAATGACTTAAAAAGCATGAAATAAAAAGAAAATTTATTTGTTTTACATATAAGATTGAAATATATTTCATTCGTGAACACCAGCTATTATATTTTCACTCGTGGCTACGCCACTCGTGAAAATATTGCATCTGGTGTTCACTCAGTGAAATTATATTTCAATCTTACATGCAAAACAAACAAATATCCTCTATGTACAGTACTGTTTAAATCTTATTTCCGTACATGTTCTTAATAGGATGTAATATAAATCCGTGATAGATCTTGTAATATTCGTTGTTATTGGTTATATTAGTATTATTTTATTGGTTTAAACATATATATTCAACAAAACATTTATCATATTAATAAATTACAATACAGTTGTAATCTATATACCATCTCAATTTAATTTATGGACAATGTCAACCTTATTTTCGTAGTCGCCATCTTGCGTTATTTTCGTAAGGTGCGACCATTATCTACCATTTGGGATATTTACCAAATTTACCGCACATACGTCTAATATTTCACTACAAAACATTTAAATCTTTATTATTTTATTCATACAATCAATCAGTAACAACAAATATAAGTTTTAATACAAAATATCAACAATAAATCTTATTTTCGCTTTACACGGCGATTTGAGCTATTTTCGTACGATGCATTTTCGGCTCAAACCATAGGCACTTGGTTTCGGGATAAAAAGCCTTTTAGAGGTTTGTAGAACTCAAATTTGATTGAATGTAACGATCTTTTTAACGTAGATGTCTCTTTCCTAAAACCGTCATTTTCCCGATAGTAATATCGGAAAAATGACGGTTTTAGAAAAGAGACATCTACGTTAAAAAAATTGTAACATTCAATTATATTTGAGTTCTACAAACCTTCTACAAACCTCTCAAAGGGTTATTTTATCCCGAAACTAAGTGCCTATGGCTCAAACTTCACTTTTTATGATATTTTTTTTTTTGGTTTTGAAATGTTAATTTGTTGTAAAATCATTCAAAGAATGCATAAATGTTTAAATAAACTAATAAATTAAACGGATAAATGCACTATATCAAAAATAAATCTTATTTTCGTAGCCGCGATCTTATTTTCGCGAAAATAGCTATTTTTCGGTATCCATCTATACCGATAAGAATTTGTTCGTGTTTTATTTTCTCACTATGTCTAAAATTTACATTTACACCGGGTCAAGGTCAGGTGAATGTCGCCGATTTAGAAAAGTAACAGGATCAAATTGCCATTATGGCGTTGAATATATTGAATACAGCTTCAAAGCGATTGACAACGACAATTGCTTTCTCAAAGTGAGTTGATATTTCTTATACCTTGATCTCAAAATGATTATTTTCAAGCCAATTAAAATTTGATGACCTTGTCCAATATTTCATTAATACATTATTTGTTCCGAAGTTGACAAAAAACAGCTGATCAAAATGTGTGTCAACTCCTGCAAGAGTTTTTTTTTATTTTTTTGTATTTCCTTAAAACATAGCCTAAAGAAGGGAAAACAGACCGGGAGCTTACCAAAGCTTGCTCTTGATGTCCACTCTCCGCTAGCCAATGCAGAACTTAATTTTCTTAATTCTAGATTTATTCGGACACTTTCAGTCCCGCGAAAACCGTCGCGCATGCGCATGCAGTCCGGCAGGTCTAGGACCATTAAATCATTTCCTGCATTCACAACACTCCCCCCAACTTTATGAATTAAGGCTTCGGTTTTGGGAGTAATGCTGTGAATTAATAAGTAAAGAACTAAAAGCTTATTTACTTCCTTAATTGTGAAAAAATATCACATCGCTGCTTGAACTTACCCTAGAAGTAGGCTGTAGAGGAAGGACTAGAAGTCCTTTTGGTACACTGGCGTTGCTGTAAAGCTTTTTAAAGGCTAGAAGCCATCTGGAACTTCATTCTTCACAACCACAAGCCTGAATTCAGCATGGTCTAGAAAACCGATGCTACAGGGCTCGAGCTAGTGGGCGATTCGGGCGAAATAGTCGCCGAATCCCGTCTGACTTCGCCGACATCCTACATGAAAGCGAAGATGAAGTCGCCCGATTTTATTGATCCATTATTGAAAATTACCAACAATAACTGTGAATAACATGTTGTGTGTGTTTGCTTTGTTTACCCTCGCTGCCGGAAAAAAAGACTGTCATGCATCTCAATCAACGCGAAATGTCATTAATCCGTTTGTTTACCAACATGTCATAAAAGTCTAATTAACAGACACTCGAGGAACAATTAGACTCCGCCCACGGCGAGATTACCGATACGTGCGAGAAACCAATCGTAATTCACGTTTTAATCGAGGCGACATTATTAAACCAATCATTAAATCGCTAACATATAACTACCCGTAACAATTATTTAAGATGGACAGATCAAACGTCAATTAAATTTTCACTATCGAATGTTTGTAAGAATTAAGAGGACCGCTCGACATATAACTGTAACGGTAATTTTAAATGAAAGTTATGGTAACCTTTTTTGTCGACGAGTTAAATTTGATAAAATTGACGGCGTATTATAGTGGAACCCCATTGTATCGTGCTATTCATTGTATCGATCTATTTACAAATCTCGCGATATTTTGCAAAGTGCGCCACCTACTGACTGTTTACATTTACAACAGTGTCACGTCATACTTTCGCTTTCGTTTTCTGCCGTAGAAATCATCAAAAACATGTTTCGAGTAGTGGTAAGTAATTTTCTGTAACATTTTAACCTAAATTTCATATATATTTTAAATATTTCATGCATAAAAAGTTAAAAAATACTCATATCAGCAATTGTTTCAAAGTTCGTCTGCAAATGTCAACCATTGATAAGTCACGTGAGTGCACCTGTCAAAAAATAAGACTATGGAAAGCCGTTCCTGTCGTCTTTTCCATCTTGTGCTTTGCTTTAAAAAGCTTTATTAGACAGCATGAGTTGATACAGATTAACATTCATGCTTGTTTCTATTTTTAGGAACCTGAAGTCAAGAAGAGACGTCTGTTGTATGACAGATCTAATCTCCAGAGAGCATTTGAAGCCACTCAGAAGGGTATTTCTGCATATAGGGCTGCAAAGATGTATTCTGTACCTCCAACTACATTGTGGGACAGGATAAGTGGCAGGGTTAAAGCTACTGCTAGAGTTGGCCATGAGACCATTTTCACTCAGGAAGAGGAGCAGAAGTTGTACAACCATATAACCTACATGGCTGAAATTGGATATGGCTACAACAAGATGTCACTTCAGTACTTGGCAAAGGACTATGCAGATTCTTTGGGCAAAGTTGTAAGGGCTGACAAGTCACTGAGTGATAATTGGTTTTATGGGTTCACCAAAAGATGGCCAGATCTTAAGACTGTAAAGGCACAAAAATTATCCATTGCTAGGGCAAAATCAGCTTCAAGAGAAACACTTAACAAATATTATGAAGAGCTTGAAACAGTCTTAATATCAAACAATATTAAAGATAAACCAAACAAGATTTTTAATATAGATGAAACCGGTGTAAATACAGAACATTCACCTCCCAAAGTAATTTGTAAGAAAGATACTACAGCCCAAAATATTACATCTGCTAGATCGTCAACAATCACATTGATAGCTGCTGGAAATGCATTCGGTCAAAGTATACCACCTTATTATGTATTTCCAGGTCAGAGGTGGAATGAAGATTTTCTGAAAGGGTCATGTCCAGGGTCAGCAGGAGAGATGTCGAAAACTGGTTGGTCAAACTCTGATGTATTTTTGAATTACCTGACAAAACATTTCATTTCCTATGCAGCAACAACTGATTCTGACACACCTACCCTCCTGTTATATGATGGCCACAGATCACACATTTCATTAACTTTAGCTGAATGGGCCAAAGAACATAATATTATTTTATTTGTGTTGCCTCCTCATTCCAGCCATCTAACACAACCTCTAGATGTTGGCATATTTGGACCCTTTAAAAAAAATGTACAACCACAAATGTCAGAAATATTTGAAACTTAATCCTGGAATAAATATAACCAAGTATGACATTGCCCAGCTCACATCTAAACCATATCTTAAAGCTCTTCTAACACCAGAAAACATCATCTCTGCTTTCAGACGTACTGGCATATTTCCCTTTAATAAAACAAATATTGCTGACTCACAAGTAGCTCCATCAATTATTTATAAAGAGTCTGAGGATAATGTCAAGGAGAGGATGAAACAACTTCCACCAATATTGTCACTACCTCTGTTGAATCACAAAATAAGTCTCCTGCCACCACTTTCTTCTCAGTAAGAACAATTAAAAAGGCTGTAAAGCCAAAACAAAGAAAGTTTGTACCCCCATTTAAGGTTTCTGGTAATCTGTTACTTGACAAGAACATTGAAATTTTGACAAATGCGTCAGTCAAGCAGAATACCAGTACTACCAAGCACAAGAACCAGCTTAGTACTAGTGAGCCAAAACCAAGCACATCTGGTCTTGTAAAAAGTGGTGGTCCAATCAATTTGGAGGCAGAAGATGCTGATGAAACTGAAGATGAAACAACAGATGATGAGAGGTGCTGTGTATGTAATAGGTGGGAGCCAGCAGACTTACATAAACACCCGTTTGTCACTATTGTTTCATGGGGAAAATGTGACCACTGTTCCCACTGGACTCATTTAAAATTTTGCAGCACAGTGCGAGTGTTAAGACGTAAAAGTGAGTTCAGATGCCCTCACTGCCTGCCAAAAGATCATTAAATAGAAAGCAGAAATAGACTTGTAAATAATGTGTTCTTGTTACAGACTGTTACAAACTGTTAAAAGTTCAAAAATTTATGTTGAAATTTTTAAGACAGACATCTTTGTTTCTAATTGACTAAAAATGTTGCATAACGACGGTTTAGGCTTTCCATACTTTGACTTGCTGAGTAATTCTCACAATGCATCGATATAATGGCGTGACCTAAGGGGGCAGGGGACATATTCGAATGATGGCCCCGGTCAAATTTTTTAATAACTCAGACATGGTGTTTTGAAGGTACTGATAACTTCTGATATTTCTATGTCATTGTAATTCTTTCTTGTTTGTGTGTAGGAAATGAGATATATTTTTGGGTTTTTACCCGAAACTAAGCATTTTGGTAGCTTTGTATGTATTTCTGACTCTCCGAATGGAGGTGAAAAAGTTAAAAATCAAGCTTTGACAGTTGGCGCCAAACAAGTAAGAAATTTCAGATAAATTTTGTGAAAAATCTAAACGTATGACAGACACTTTATTTGTCATTTCTGAAAATGCCATAGCTTGCACTGAGTGTTACTGATATTTTTAAAGGAATCGGGCGGATTCTGGAGTATGCTGCACCTTCATGAAGATTGCCCATATTGGTATATTTTAGGTGTGATTTTGGCTGGGTGGGGGTAAATATAAATTTCTGTCAGTTATTTTTTGAAGGAGCAATGCATGCAAACTATTATTTTCTTCAATGTATGTCATATATCATTGAATAATGCTGTGCAACTGGTTATCTGCCTGTGAAACAGATTTTGAAATATTTGGAATCGTGTTTCTGGTCACACTGAAATACAAAATTTTTCATTTTTAGCTCGACTTTTCTATGAAAAGGGGAGCTATCCTACTCGCCCCGGCGTCGGCGTCGGCGTTGGCGTCACACCTTGGTTAAGTTTTTCGTACCACCCCACTTTATTTCAGAAGTATTACAAGTATGGCTTTGAAACTTACCATACTTGTTCACCATCATAACCTCCATCTACAGACAAGAGTACATAACTCTGTCAAGGTTTTTGACAGAATTATGGCCCTTTTTTGACTTAGAAAGTGTATTGAGCTTGGTTAAGTTTTTTGTACCACCTCACTTTATTTCAAAACCATTGGAGGTATTGCTTTGAAACTGACCATACTTGTTTACCATCACGACCTTCATCAACAGACAAGAGGACATAACTCTGTCAAGGTTTTTGACAGAATTATGCCCCTTTTTGACTTAGAAAATACATTGAATATGGGTAAAATCCACTTATTGCCTTAACCCTTTGAGATATTGCTTTGAAACTTTTAATGCTATTTCACATCATTACCCCCATCTGTACGCAAGAGAAGGTAACTCTGTCAAGGATTTGTTTTAAAAATTAAGGCCTTTTATCGACTTAGAATCTTGGTTAAGTTTTTAGTACCAGTCCACTTTTTGACTGAACTGTTTGAGATATTAATTTGAAAGTTGGAATACTTGTTTACAATCATGATTCCCAAACATGTCCAGGAGAAGGTAATTCTGTCAAAGATTTTATTTGAATTATGGCCCTTAACTGTCAATGTTTTGTATTATAGGCAAGCACTAAAAAACTCAACTCAGTTTTTTTTTCTTTCTTACCAGCCCTCTTTTGACTTAAACATTTCAAACTTTGCTGCAGTGTTCAAGGGTATCACACAATTCAGTAAAATAATTCTTCAATAAATATCTTAATGCTCATGGCCATTGTTCACTTTAAAAATACAGAGATTCTTGTATTGCCTTTTACTGCAAAAACTTTTTTTATTGGCAAGCAATAAAAAAGTCGAGCGCGCTGTCTTACGGACAGCTCTTGTTAGGTCCCCTGCCCCCTTAAGGAAATTTTCAAATTTATAAAATTTGTTGGAATTGACCCAAATGTGCCCATAAACATTCCTTCTACATTTGTTAGTCAAAATTTGAAGTGACTGGTAGGATTTATCAAGTTATGTAGAGTAAGTAGACTGTCAAGTCAAGGGAGGTAATAAAAATTTGGAATTTTGGCAAACACTGTACTTCACAGAATGTGCACATTTATCCAGATTTAACAGTTTTATATTGTGCAAATTGACATAATAATGCATAATTGAGCACTTTCAATTGTTACAAATGTTTATAATGTCATATAAGTCAACAGTGGTATCTTTACTGCACTTTTAGGTGTATGCCAGTCTGGTTTCCTGTAAAATTCATTTTGGGACATTAAATGTGGCTGTAATATTGTTTTTCTTGCTATAATCTCCTTCCAAAAGACTTTAAATACTCTGAAAATACTTTATGGTATTTAAATGAAGGTGGAATACAGAAAAATAACCATCTCACAGGTTCCTGGCACTTGATATTAAGTAAATCATATAACAGGCATGGTCATTGTACTAGTTACTTCCCCTGAAATAGGGTCTTTTTTTAAATATTTGATTAAATACAAAGTAACCCAAATGTGCCCATGGGTTAAAGTTTAATGCGAAATACTCCATATTTTAAGAAAATAAAAGGAAACACTTTAATGCGGATCACATAAAAAATCTTAAGGGGGCAGGGGACATATTCGAATGATGGCCCCGGTCAAATTTTTTAATAACTCAGACATGGTGTTTTGAAGGTACTGATAACTTCTGATATTTCTCTGTCATTGTAATTCTTTCTTGTTTGTGTGTAGGAAATGAGATATATTTTGGGTTTTTACCCGAAACTAAGCATTTTGGTAGCTTTGTATGTATTTCTGACTCTCCGAATGGAGGTGAAAAAGTTAAAAATCAAGCTTTGACAGTTGGCGCCAAACAAGTAAGAAATTTCAGATAAATTTTGTGAAAAATCTAAACGTATGACAGACACTTTATTTGTCATTTCTGAAAATGCCATAGCTTGCACTGAGTGTTACTGATATTTTTAAAGGAATCGGGCGGATTCTGGAGTATGCTGCACCTTCATGAAGATTGCCCATATTGGTATATTTTAGGTGTGATTTTGGCTGGGTGGGGGTAAATATAAATTGCTGTCAGTCATTTTTTGAAGGAGCAATGCATGCAAACTATTATTTTCTTCAATGTATGTCATATATCATTGAATAATGCTGTGCAACTGGTTATCTGCCTGTGAAACAGATTTTGAAATATTTGGAATCGTGTTTCTGGTCACACTGAAATACAAAATTTTTCATTTTTAGGTCCCCTGCCCCCTTAAGGAAATTTTCAAATTTATAAAATTTGTTGGAATTGACCCAAATGTGCCCATAAACATTCCTTCTACATTTGTTAGTCAAAATTTGAAGTGACTGGTAGGATTTATCAAGTTATGTAGAGTAAGTAGACTGTCAAGTCAAGGGGGGTAATAAAAATTTGGAATTTTGGCAAACACTGTACTTCACAGAATGTGCACATTTATCCAGATTTAACAGTTTTATATTGTGCAAATTGACATAATAATGCATAATTGAGCACTTTCAATTGTTACAAATGTTTATAATGTCATATAAGTCAACAGTGGTATCTTTACTGCACTTTTAGGTGTATGCCAGTCTGGTTTCCTGTAAAATTCATTTTGGGACATTAAATGTGGCTGTAATATTGTTTTTCTTGCTATAATCTCCTTCCAAAAGACTTTAAATACTCTGAAAATACTTTATGGTATTTAAATGAAGGTGGAATACAGAAAAATAACCATCTCACAGGTTCCTGGCACTTGATATTAAGTAAATCATATAACAGGCATGGTCATTGTACTAGTTACTTCCCCTGAAATAGGGTCTTTTTTAAATATTTGATTAAATACAAAGTAACCCAAATGTGCCCATGGGTTAAAGTTTAATGCGAAATACTCCATATTTTAAGAAAATAAAAGGAAACGCTTTAATGCGGATCACATAAAAAATCTTAAGGGGGCAGGGGACATATTCGAATGATGGCCCCGGTCAAATTTTTTAATAACTCAGACATGGTGTTTTGAAGGTACTGATAACTTCTGATATTTCTCTGTCATTGTAATTCTTTCTTGTTTGTGTGTAGGAAATGAGATATATTTTTGGGTTTTTACCCGAAACTAAGCATTTTGGTAGCTTTGTATGTATTTCTGACTCTCCGAATGGAGGTGAAAAAGTTAAAAATCAAGCTTTGACAGTTGGCGCCAAACAAGTAAGAAATTTCAGATAAATTTTGTGAAAAATCTAAACGTATGACAGACACTTTATTTGTCATTTCTGAAAATGCCATAGCTTGCACTGAGTGTTACTGATATTTTTAAAAGAATCGGGCGGATTCTGGAGTATGCTGCACCTTCATGAAGATTGCCCATATTGGTATATTTTAGGTGTGATTTTGGCTGGGTGGGGGTAAATATAAATTGCTGTCAGTCATTTTTTGAAGGAGCAATGCATGCAAACTATTATTTTCTTCAATGTATGTCATATATCATTGAATAATGCTGTGCACATGGTTATCTGCCTGTGAAACAGATTTTGAAATATTTGGAATCGTGTTTCTGGTCACACTGAAATACAAAATTTTTCATTTTTAGGTCCCCTGCCCCCTAATTCTTCAATCTGTTTGACATGGCATCACATATCCGTATATTCCAAGCTAAAGACTATGTATCAGTAATGTTTGCCATGCAAATATTATCAGAAAAGGATCAAAATAAATGATAAAAAATAAAGATTCAGGTAGGTTAAATTTATTTAATTGCAGTTGTTATTTATAAATAACTAGATCGATACAACGGGGTTCCAGGCTACACTGTATTTATTACAAATGAAGTTAAATTAAAGATCGTGTCTTTCTTTATAGATCTACTTTCATTTTCTTTACAACATAAGTGAATATGAATATAATGTCCGGCGCAAGCTTTTTAATAGTAAATCAGAAGGGAATAACTGTTAATCCACCCATGATATGATCCATGATAGGAATCAACTATGGCTTTTATATCTTCATTTAATGCAATGGTTGCATTACATGATACTCATTCTTATTACTTGTTTCAAACTACTTTTGAATTCAAATTGAATATTCTGTTGTAACACAAATCCAATTCATTTAATAAGGTATGTACAGTGAGTCAACATAATTGCAATAACATACAACAAACATCGATAATTTAAAGGGATAAATGAATCTCCTCATTTCTCCCTAAAGTCTCCCCACTTCTCCCTAAAGCAGCTGGAGGAAGAAGTGACTTCTCCCTAAATTTTGAACCTAGCTTGAGCCCTGTGCTATATGTACTTGTTTCAGTATGATCTAGAAGATCTGTACAGTTCTTTTCATTATAGCACTGCCTTTTTACTGAAGTTATCCTCGACTACCGTAATCCGTGTCGCTAAGCATTCTCCGGCGTAACAAACAATAAAAGGTCAACAAGTAGAAAATCTTCGTCACTAACCTGCTAAAAAAATTCCTCATAATTCTCACGAATATTTCACATGTATAATCTTCAACAAGTGTCAATGTCCCCTTTTGTTTACATTCATCAATTGAGGCGGCCATTTTGTTTCACTTCCCGCCATTCGCGGATGTGACGCAATCCCATAGTTCTTTGCAAAAAAAGTACAATTAGGCCACATCTAAGTTTGAATATTTGGTTTTGGTCTCTACTTGGTCCAAAGTGAGCATTTAATTAAAAATAACAGTTCTAACACATTTAAAAGATTAAGAGTAATATGAAATTAGGTGCTACCTAAACATTGAAAATTGAATTATACTTTTTAGCTCGACTTTTCTATGAAAAGGGGAGCTATCCTACTCGCCCCGGCGTCGGCGTCGGCGTTAGCGTTGGCGTCACACCTTGGTTAAGTTTTTCGTACCACCCCACTTTATTTCAGAAGTATTACAAGTATGGCTTTGAAACTTACCATACTTGTTCACCATCATAACCTCCATCTACAGACAAGAGTACATAACTCTGTCAAGGTTTTTGACAGAATTATGGCCCTTTTTTGACTTAGAAAGTGTATTGAGCTTGGTTAAGTTTTTTGTACCACCTCACTTTATTTCAAAACCATTGGAGGTATTGCTTTGAAACTGACCATACTTGTTTACCATCACGACCTTCATCAACAGACAAGAGGACATAACTCTGTCAAGGTTTTTGACAGAATTATGCCCCTTTTTGACTTAGAAAATACATTGAATATGGGTAAAATCCACTTATTGCCTTAACCCTTTGAGATATTGCTTTGAAACTTTTAATGCTATTTCACATCATTACCCCCATCTGTACGCAAGAGAAGGTAACTCTGTCAAGGATTTGTTTTAAAAATTAAGGCCTTTTATCGACTTAGAATCTTGGTTAAGTTTTTAGTACCAGTCCACTTTTTGACTGAACTGTTTGAGATATTAATTTGAAAGTTGGAATACTTGTTTACCATCATGGTCCCAAAACATGGGCAGGAGAAGGTAATTCTGTTAAGGATTTTATTTAAATTATGGCCCTTTTTGACTTAGAAACTCAGTTAAGATTTTCATTCTTGTCCACTTGTTGACTTAACCATTTGAGATATTACTTTGGAAGTTGGAGTTCTTATGTGCCATCATGAGACCTATCTGTAAGCAAGAGAAGATAACTCTGTGAAAATGTTTCTTGATTTGTACTTAGAAATTCCTAGTTAAAGTCTTGTGTGCCCTTAACTGTCAAAGTTTTGTTTTATAGGCAAGCACTAAAAAAGTCGAGCGCGCTGTCCTTCTGACAGCTCTTGTTTGTTGAATGAAATGTTTCTGGTGGTTAGAGACTGACATGTCCCACACTATAGAACATTTACCAACATTATTTACAAAAGAAAATGTGTTGCAAAGTTAAATTAAATTGATATTATGAAAACAATCAGTGATGAAGAAGGGGTTTCATTTTAATTTTTTTGCTTCAATTTGTAAATATATCTTGTGTTTAAAGACAGTAAAAATAGGATGAGACTTGTTCCTTTTGCCTAGGAGAACAGCAAAATTATTCTGCTGCAATATAAATACCTTCTTGGCATGTGTATCTATACCCATATTCAGACATAGTCTGAAAATATTTAACTAGATAAGCCTCTTCAAGCTGACTTAAAACAAAGGTGCTGAGCCCAAATAACAAAATTTTCTTGGTCAACTTTGCCAAAACTCCTGTCTCTTAAATGTGTTTTTTTGGCACACAAACAATTTAGATGCCCCGAAGACAGATACATCATCTTCCCAACAAATGTTAGCATTTATTAGTGCTGTTGAGGAATATAGTCTGAAGATTTTCTTCATTGACTGTGGGTTTAGCTTAAAATAAAAAAAAAAATTAAAAATACAGGACTGAAAATTTAACAATAAAAATATGCTTGGCCTTATTTTTTGCTAGGTGGCGGGTAATTCCATATATGGAAAGTTACTATGAAGCAGACGAATGTTTATTTTTTTGAAATTCAGGCAATTTTGCATTAAAAAAGGATTTTAAAAGTTATAGATATTTGGGAATAAGGTAAAAGGTAAG